CTTTTAAATTCCAAAGAAAAGTGTTTAAATTCAAAAGATTTTTCCATTTAATTGCGAAATTTTGCCTAATCCTCCTCTGTCATTCTTTGTTTTTCTAATTGTGGGGTGTATGTTACAATCCTAAAAATAAGTTATAGTAAGTATTCTAGGTTTCTGTTCGTAGAAACTGGATAATAAATGTCCCAAATGATGTTTACATTCTCTTGAGCGAGAATAGATTTACTCCATCGTGGGAACTGAAAGCAACTTTGGGCTTGATGTTTTACGATACTTGCAGTTACCCTTTTGGATCAAGAAGGAAAAAATGTTATTCTAACCTCCATGGCCTTAGTTTCGATACTTCATCCTTTTCCTATTCATCTTCTGCTCAAAATTGCGCCCCGCTGAAGTCTCCCATTAACTTCTTTTCTAAATCCCTTCGATAAGTCGCTTTCTGAGATAGCGAACACTCGCTTTCATCAATTAAAACGTTTTATGCAAAGTGGGTCTTTTAAAGTTTCTATCAGGATCTTCCAATATTTATTAACCATTTGGTTTGAATAATTTATTTTACAAATTTCGTTTTAAAGCATTATTTATTTCACATATTTCTTTTCAATACGTATACTCTACTTTTAAATTATCTTTAATTTAAATTAACGCTGGATGGAGCCCCCTGTTAGATTTCAATAAATTTAAGTTTATTTATACTCTTCATAGCGTTTTAAACAGACAAGCATGAAACTATCAAGAGCAATTTAAGAATAATGTGATTGTAAACAGAACTGCATGTTACTCTTGCGCATCCTTCAAAAAGTGTATCTAAGCAGTGTTTATTGATTACGTTCAAAGAACGTCTAATACGTGTTTCATTATTACAAGTGTAGAGGGTGCCGAGCAGACATGAAGAGGACGGTAAGAGAAAACAACTTTGAAAAGCAAAACGAATCACGTAAAAAGCAGAGCATATATATGTAAACACTTCTACACTGTTATACTCTTGTAGAAGCATCTAACCTCGAGTGTAATGAGCCAGTGATCATTTATCATATAATATATATTTTTCTCTCGGCAATGACTTTTTAAATAGAGGATGATACGGGGAAGATTCCGCCAACAGGAGTCACTGGTGGAGGAGATGAAAGTAAATCGCTGACATCATCCTGCTCAGCTGACAGCTGTCTCAGGGAGACGCCTGTACAATCCAGTAGGTGAACGGGAGGGGCAGGGAGGGAACGAGCACACGACCTGAAGGTCCTTTCCCCCGTTGAATTTCATGCATCGAAGATGCCCGCTTCTGAATATGGCCATGGCCGTTTGGAGAAATCTAGTTCTTTTACTCTGAAGTGACACGCCTGGTTGCTCAGCGATTTACCAATGATGAGCAAGGGAAAATTTCCACGCCATGTTCGTTTTGTTTTTGTAGTGGGAATGTATTTCAGTTGGGCTTGAATCAGTGGAAATGGGAGTAGGAAGATCACAACCTTTCCTTGCAAGATCGCCAGCTATTTCATTACCATACACCCCCAACATGTGACGATATCCATTGGAGATATATTGATTTACGCTGTCCGAGCTCAAAAAGTTTAGTTACGATATTCCAGTCGGTCGTATCCATGATCTTAGACCAGGTTTTCAGGTACTGGAGCTTCTACTGTGTGTCAGTATCAATATAACGTCACTAGTCGAACAGAGAGCATAATCAAGTGCTTTGCTTATGGCGATAAGTTCCGATCTCAAGACAGAGCAATGATCAGAATTTCTGTGCTGCATCTGATGTCGCCTTCTGGAGTTTTACTATAAACACCATTCCTTGCTCTATCCTTATCTGATCTACTTCCATCTGTATATATCACACAGGCCTGGACAGACATATCATTTATGATTTCAAGAGCCATTTGCCTGAGGAGTTCCAGGTGATGGTTGCCCTTGACAATATTAGTCGACAATTCCTCAAGGATGTTAACATGATTAAATGAAGTATCTGGAGCATAAAGGCTAAAAGGCTTAATGTTTCAACATTAAAATTGAAAAAAATCCGAATTCCACCCATAACTAAGTGGGCTGTCTCGCTTTAGGCGTTTATTGCTTGTCCAATTTAAAATAAAGGCTGAGGTCCGATTATAAGGACCAAAACTCTTGAGTTCGTTGAAATATTTGTAGGAATTCACTTTAAAATTCATTGCCAAAGGCTGGATGTCCGTCTCATAGCGTCCGGATAAGTGTTCTCATTTTAACCACAGTATGAAACAGAAGAGGAGATTCGGGAAATCACTCCTTTATGAGTTCCTTCCTTCTGCATTCTTACTTCCATATGGCCGCTAATGAATACAGGATAGAAACCCCATGTTTTGAACTAACATGTCTTTTTTTTTTTTTTTTTTTTTTTTTTTTTTTTGCGAAGTTGTTCTTCTTTAGGAAACATTTTTTAGGACATGAAATGATGCATTAATTTCTGCTACATCTGCCTTCTAAATTCTTATAATTATTTTCTCGTTAAAACATGCTGCAAATACTGATAATTATTCTTCTAGCTTTTATAGCTGTTCACATACTCCAGAAACAGGGAAGGGGCACTGGCTGGCCTAAGTATAACCCCATATTCGATATATATCAAAAAATTAACTGAAATAAGCGAATAAACGGATAATTGTATTTTTAAACTAAATGTCACCACCAATGGAATCTATATCAAGCAATGCAAACATTTCCCTGTGACTAAAAATATTGAGAATTCATTAACTCTAATCTCCAAAATTAATTTATTAAATTTGTATTCAGTATTCTTTTTCCTGTATTTTCAAAAGAATTCCTACAAGAAAATACGGAAAGCTTTACTGTGAACATTTTACAATGAAAGTTTTCTTGGCATTTTCCATTGGTGACTCGAAAAAACTATCAAAAAAGAAAGACTATGAAAAAAAAAGAAAGACTATCAGGCTTAGAAAAGACTATCAAAATATTATGCAAAATGATTTATGTGATAACATTTCTTTAAATTCTTTCACTACCTGATACTTGTACGCTGTTTAACGCTTGTTCGTGAACGTGTGTGAAATAGTCTAATACTTGTATAAATATTATTAAAAAATGCATTTATTTCCATCATATTCCATACGTCTTTAAAATACAATTTTTATGCCTCTGTATATGTTATATTTATTAAATTTAATACTACCAGTTTTTATATTCAAAATTCATGTGTGAAATATTGAAATATTAGAAAGTTATTAGTTAAATACTAAAATATTAGAAATTCATCACCTTATTATTCGAAATTTATCATCATTTTTCATTACCTTAAATTTCTAATCTAAACCATTAAAAGAGTTACTTCATTTAAAATTGTTTATATATGTATTCATGATTGTATCATAGAAGTGCGTTCGGTACTGATCAGAAAGGCATATCGCTAGCTAGATTTTGGCAGGTTTTCGTTTCGATTGTCGGCAACACTCTTAGACTTTCTCCAGATGACAGCAAAGCTTTTTCTAAGAGTTTTACTAGTAGGAAAATACCTTGTATTTTAGAGTGCTCAGGATGATTTTTAATAAGAAACAGTGTTAAATAGTAGTAAAATTAATTCTTAAAATAAATTTGTTACGCTTGAGATATTTCTGTTAAAGTATGTTTCCTGATAGTCTAAACAGTTTCAAAAATTTACAAAATAGCCATAAAATGCTTCAAAAAAACTTGTCATTTTAGAATATTTTATCTTAGGAATAGATTTTTTTGCCACAGTTACTAGCCTATACCTAGAGTTTTTTTTAAGATCAGTAAATACAAAGTAAAAAATGTTTGACATCCATTGCTCTAAATACCACTAGAGGACGACAATACCACAGGCAGTAAAATTTCTTTTTTAGCTGTCAAACTGAAAAACAAAACAATTTTGAAACTTCCTGCCGTACAAGTTAGATGAAGTTTCCTTAGTCTTAGTTTCGGAGTTAAAGTAAGAACTAGAACAATTTGACTGAATATCGAAAATAGCCAGTTCTTTCTTCTGGAGCATTCAGATTAAATTTCGCATCATTAAAAAAATTTTTTATCTTGTCGTTTCAGTATCAGATATGAGTGCATTTATGAAAACAAACACACACACACACACACACAAAAAAAAAAAAAAAAAAAAAAAAAGGAAGAACGTAAACATTGCATATTTAATGGAAATGTGATGCTTCCTGTGCTCACTTTAGGTATAATATTGATCGTTGAACAAAACTACACTTACAGTTAAAGGGAGGAAACATAAATAACTATGAAAGTTATATTGGTGAATAATGAAAGGTAAACTGATTTTAAAGCTTGAGAGAAGGAAATTAAAAAAAAAAGTTTTATTTTTCCTTTTAATACTTTTAAAAAAATACAATTTTAACACATAAGAGTTATATCAATGATTTTATAATAAAGCTGATATACCTGTTAATATAAAAGTAATGAAATTCAAAAATCGCCGAATCAAAGTTTTCGCAGCTAAATTTCCGGAAAAAAAAAAAAAAAAAATCACTAAAATGCTACAAACTCGCCATACCTAACTATGCACATTTGAAGAATTCCCACTCCATAAAAGGAAGAACTTGTTTTTTGCTTTAAGAGTAAGAATTCGAACGCTAGCTCAAATATTTGCCAACAGGTACACATTGAAATACGGAATTCGGCGTCAAATACCCGAAATAGAATAATTTTGGGTGTCTTTGTAGAAAGTGGACTAATTTGTAAAAAATGAGTTTTTCGCATAAGATTTCAAAACTAGAACAATTTTTCAGGAATGAAATCCATTGCAAGAATGGATCTTAGTTAAGGAAGTTCTAAAAAAAGCCCTGAGTGATTTAGTTAAAAGCGTTCAGGTTTATGCCTAACATAACTAGAAAACAAAATAATAATGATTTCGAAATGAGAGTAAAATTTTGAAAATTCTTTCCACTAAAAGGTTTTACGTAAAAAAAAGGATATTTATAGTTATTAAATTCACATATTTGGTTGTCATTAAAATATTTTAATTTATTTCAATTCTTCTTTAGGGCCACTTACCGATAAAATGGGAAGAAAAGATACACTAGTATTCAACATAATTCCCTTTGTTATTGGATGGCTTGCTATAAGTTTCTCCAAAGGCATTGTTCTAATTATTTTCGGAAGATTTGTATGTGGCTTTTCATGTGGGATTGTATCTGTAACAGTTCCTATGTACTGTGTTGAAATTTCAACGCCTGATGTGAGAGGACTGCTGGGCTCAGCCTTTCAAGGTTTTCTTGTCATTGGTAATCTTATTAGTGTTATTGTAGGATCTTACACAACATGGGAATATCTTGCTCTGTTTGGTGCTGCCATTGCTACTATGAGTTTAATTTGCTTCTGTCGTATGCCAGAGACTCCTAGATGGTTACTGGCGAAGGGTAAGTTAGATCAAGCAATTCTTGTTATGCAGTACCTTCAAGGAAGTCATACAGATGCTGAAGAAGAATGTACTGCTATTTACAAAGATTTGGAATTCCAGCGTAAAGGATTATTAAGCTGGAAGGAATTTAAGCACCCAACTGTTTATAAACCGACGGTGATTTGCTTGCTGCTGATGTTTTTCCAACAGTTTTCAGGAGCAAATGCAGTATTTTTCTATTCTTCTATAATTTTTAAAGTAAGTAAGGACTTCATGAAGCCAGAGAATTCCACTATTGTTTTAGCTACAGTGCAAGTTGTAGCAACATTAGGAAGCAATTTTATTGTGGACAAAGCAGGAAGGAAATTGTTACTTCTACTTTCATCAATATTTATGACTCTGAGTCTTATTGCCCTTGGCCTTTACTATTATTTTGCACTAAATAACCAAGAATTCGGCACAAAATTCAGTTGGATGCCTCTCATAAGCCTTATTTCTTTCGTAATAGCATTTTCCATTGGTTATGGTTCTGTTCCTTGGCTTTTAATAGCTGAGATGATACCTGTAAGAGCCCGCAGTACTGTTGGTGGCTTAGGAACATTTTTTAATGGACTGTTTGCTTTCATTGTAACTAAAACATTTACACAGCTTGAAGATCTTATCCAGACTCACGGAACTTTCTGGACGTACAGCTCTGTAACAGCGTTGAGTTTTTTAGTTATATTTTTTATATTACCAGAGACGAAAGGAAAGAAACTTGAAGAGATAAGTAATATATTTCATAAATCAAAAGATATTGAAAGTGATATGCCAATTTCAGTGATTTCAAAATAAATTATTTTCCTCTACACTTTTGGTTTGACAATAAATTTAGAAAGAAAGTATACGGTGAGCATAATGTCTTTCCCTGATTACAAATATATATTGCACGAAAATATTATGATTACGAAAATATTTTATGGAAATGGTACTATAAGAGTAATTGAATTCTTCATTAACATTAGTAAATTAATGAATTTTAAAGTCTGCCTTTTTCGTTACTTGGAAAATTCCCAGTCGATATTCCTTTGTAAGGTATTTTCTCTCTCCTTCCAGCATCACTACGGTGGCACACTCGGCGCATATTTATTCAAGACGTCCAGGTTGGAGTCGCGGTGAAGTCAATGCATATTTTTCACATCTCCTGCTTTTAAAAAAAAAAAAAAAAAAAAAAAAAAAAAAAAAAAACTAATCGCTTTACAAATGGCGCCTGAACTAACAGGTGGTGGACAATAATTCGTCACCACCAGGATTTGACCATTGTGTCCCCTGATTCGCAGTCGCTCTTTGAAAGAGGTAGTATGACAGAAGCAATGAGAAATGTACAAAACTACAATTATTCCTGATTACTGTCTCTAAAAATGACAGAACATGAACTATCTACAATATTAGATTTATACATTACCGTGAAGTAAAGAGTGTGTCATATAGTGGTCGCGTTGGCCACATGCAGTACTAATACTGATACTCCTTCCATCACACTCAAACTGCGTGTAGACATAACTCCAAGTGTTCCAACCCGCATTTTCGACTGATTGCCCCGCCAGAAGGAAGGTAAACCACTATGCCAACTTCATAAAGAACTATCGTGTTTTCGAAACATTTCCAAAATTCTTAAACTCTGACAAACCTAATCGTAGAAATTACTCCGATCTCCAACAAAAGCTACCCCGAGACTCTTGCCGCCACCCTACAAAAGCCTCGCCAATGACGCTAATACATCTCTAGGAGACTTGCAAGTCCTTGTCAAATATATCAAGAAATTTGGAATCAGAGATCTCGCAGAAATTACTTTAGAAAAACCTGGTTTCAGAAACAGACTCCACTGTGAAATCACCATTGCATCATGGATAACATGTCAAACTGTACTTCCCCCGATTTAATGGTTATATGAAATACATGCAGTCTAAGAAACAAGCTTGATGATTTCATTCTGGAAAGTGAGACTGACATTAGTCTGTTCACAGAAAAATATGCCACACGAGTAAAATTATGAAAATCAGGAATAATGTTCCTATAGTTGTGACAGGTTTCGGCACACAGCTGGAAGAATCTTGATTTATGTAAATAATAAATTTTCCTCTTGCTTAATCCACCAGACAACAGCAAAGGTTACTAGATCATGGTTGCCTCAGTCACTCTCCCATACTACGGAGACGTCTTTCTCTTTGCAATGTACCACCTCAGGCAATATTGGCTGTTTTTCACAACATCTTCAAGAAACCCCCGTTAAAAGCAAAGGTCTCTCAAATCACTTTGATATCGATAAAACGATTGATGAGCTACCACTGAGTTACCCTTTTCTTAAACGACGCTTATCATTAAGCCCCCAACATTGTGATTGCAAAGGACTCTTTCAGAATGCTCACCAAAAATATAACGCATTTCGTTACAATAAGAAATCGCCTGAGTAGGATTATAAGGAATTTCTTCCGCCTCCTTAGCATGCCTTCGTGGTGTAGTGGTAGTACAATCGGTGCGTATTCGAGAGGTCCATGTTCGAGTCCCGGCTAGGGCATTGCACATTTTTCAGATCTCCTGCTTCAAAATAACCTAATGGCTCTACACCACTGCTCATTACGTGTTTTTTTGACATTTGCTTTGTAACACTTGACGCAACATCTATTTATTAATCTGGCCTTCAGTGTGTTCATATCATGTTTCTTTTTCTTTTATCGTCGTCATTTTATTAACTGTGTAGAGATATTAGGTATATTTTTGGAAGAAGGCAAGATGAAAAATGAGCAATCGCCTTCGCCGGGAATCGAAGGACGGACCTCTGAAATACCGGCCAGAACCACTACACCACGAAGGCGGGAGAAATACCTTACAACTGTTTCTTAGCCGCATTTACAGCAAGGTAAAAAATAAAAGAAAAGCATAAGAGAGCGACTATATAATGATAAAAATTTTAATTTTCTATCTTCCGTGGTTAAAACATTAAAATATTTGCGGTCCGGTAAAGACATTATGCTCAGTTTGTGTATTTTTTAGTGCTTTTGCAACTGTCATATAATCGAAAGGCGTCAGATCATAAATTAATCCAAAATTTGACAGTATCATTAAATTTGCGGTTTACGAGACAGTAAAATTTTTAAGCAAGTCATTCATTCTGACATATTTATTATACAGCTGTAATGTATGGTTATAAATTTCTGTAGTATCTGAATCTATTTGACAGCATTATTATCGTTTTTTTTTTCTTGTATTCTTGCAATGTTTTGTACTATTTTATTTATTTATCTGCTTCATTGTTGCAATTTAGCTAATAGCTTTAGGGCTTACATTTAAGTAATTAAATTTCTGGCCACGTATTTTGTATGTATGCGCTTATTTCTTGTATAGACTGATCGATTTTGTCATTCTCATTCCAGCAGTGCTAAAAATAGCTAAACTAGAACCCAAGATATAAGCAGAAATCCATCTGACGGGCCTTAAATGACATATGTTGATTATTTCCTCAGCTTGTTAGACTTTCTGGAAGTTTTGGAAAATCGCATTTTCGAATCTCTAGGAGTGATTTTCCCCAGGCTTTTGGAAGTCCGTGAAACACAATATAAATTAGGCTCCGATAGCCAAGATGATTCAATTTTTAGTTCTAAACGACGTCAGAAAGACTGTGGTTGAAATAAAATTAGCTGAATTGCATTATAGAGTTTACTCTCTGAGTGATATCGGTAATTTATAATATTTCTCGGAGGTTAAGGACGATTTGGTTAATACATGCGTTCTCCTTGAATTACTTACTCCTTGAATTACTGTTTCTGTATGAGGTGAATCGGCTGATATTCTACAGATAGTTCCGACAGAAATACAATCAGATGCGGACGCCTTATTTAAATGCTCTAAAACTGCATTTGGGAGAGAAAACTCTCAAAGATTATCACCGATCAGCTTAAGACTCGACAACAAAAAGCAAAATCGATTTTTTAAGAACTAACGAATGACATCGAAAAATTTACTCAGCTTTATTTTCCGTATCACGCAATGGAATCTAAAGAGGAGTCGCCAATATTTTTTTGATGCTATTAGGGATCCTGATACAACAGGCACTCCGAATAGCCGATATTACAATTTGAAGAGTGCTCTCGTGTATGACGAGGCTACACAGCAATCAACCTCCATTTTCCTTCGTTCTATCCGAAGAGTGAAGAGCACAGAAAAGACAGCGCTGAAAGCTGTGACGGAATTGATGAGAAGATTGGAAGGAGTAGAAACACTCAGGACTCAAAGGAAAAGTAATAACAGATTAAACTGCTGGATTTCTGGGATTAAAAACAGTTATGCGAACAATTTTCTATGCGTTAAGGACTAAAGAGTAAAATGCTTACGAAAGAGTTGATATCAGTAAATGCAGGAGATTCGGCTTTCGATATTTCATAGATATCTTTCATTCACGGAGGAAATCGTGAACTACATGTCGAAGCAGAACTAAATGGATTTCTTTGCTGCATGATTGTAGACACCGATGCTAACGCAACTATTTTTGCGAGTTTCCGCAGCCCAGCAAATGGCCAGATACCTTCTGTATATAGCTCCATCTTTGACTCTATAGACTGTGAAAGGAGAGAAAGTATTTGTGTACGGGAAATTAATATACGTGTCAAGTTTGCATTCTGTATTTATGAACACACAACCTATGTGGCTGACGTAACAGATCCATGCATCCTTTGTTGGTTAGTTTGACTGTGACAAAGCACTCGAAGGCTATCTGCCTAGGGTATACTTTTATTGAGGGTTTTCTAAGGAAAACGTTACTCATAGGGAAACCAAAAAAACCAACCATGAAGCTAGGCACGTTCGCCTGGATTTGTGTCCAAGAGGAACTTGTAGAGCTATTAGGTTTTACGAAGCAGGAGACATGAAAAATGTGCAATGCCCTTGCCGGGATTCGAACCGTGAACCTCTCGGATACGCGCCGAGTGTGCTGACCACTACACCACGAAGGCATGCTAAAAAGCAGAAGAAATACCTTATTTACTCCTCCTTTTCAAGAGCTACTGGGGATTAGGAGACCCAATCGCCAAATCCTGGTGGGGGAGAATCATCATCCACCACCTTTTTTTTAGCTCGACGCCACTGTCCTGGAAGGGCGTTGCTCATTTCTCACGTCTCCCTAATCGTGCCCAAACTAAAAAAAAAAAAAAAAAAGGTGGTGGCTGGTAATTCTCCACCACCAGGATTTGGCGATTTGGGTCCCCTAATCCTCAGCCGCTTTTTAAAAAGGGAAGCATTTTTTTTTTTTATTATTTAAAGAAAAAGAAATCCTCGTGCACCACAAAGTATCGCACGAGACTTACAAATCGTAAGTGAAAAAGGCAGAATAGTAAGTAATATCATCAGTTTTCAACAATACAATGAAATCATAACAAGGAAAAAAAAACACAAGTAAATACAAAAGTATAAAAACGTATAAAGAAATCATTAACAGTGTTTAAAATAAAAGTCAACAAAATCATTGAAAGCTCGGTAGGCCGAAATCGAGGATACAAAATCATAACATTTCGGCGGCCAATGTATTCCAATGAATTTCAATCTACATTTCAAAAGATTTCTTGCTTTATCAAGCAGTGGGCAATCAAAAAGCAGGTGGAAAACACTTTGCTCAACGCTAAGATTGCAATTACACAAATTGGAAGATATCAGCTTAAATCGTTCAAGATAAACATTAAACTTACCATGTCCAGACAAAAATTGCGTAACTTTAAAATTGAGCAACAAGTCCTTACTTTTCAGTCTTTCAAAAATAGTTGGGAAGAATGCTTTTGTAACAGATCCCTTATCAGAATAATCACAGTTCACCGCTCAATCACAGTTCCACCGCTCAATCATTTTAGCTTTGAATGTTTTTTTAAATAAGATTTTGGAATATTTACATCAACGTTAATATCATTTTTAGTTGCATTCTTAGCAAGCCAATCAGCTCTCTCGTTTCCATAATTACCCGAATGACCACGGACAAATGTAAAAAACACTGAAATACCCCTCTTCTCCAGATCTCCGAGAGACTGCTGTATATTGACAATAATATCATTACATAAAGAGGTATTTTTAAGAGATTCCAGGGAAGAGAGTGAATCCGTACAGATCTTAAGTAGCTGGAACCACTTCCATTCTGGCTAATTATCCACTTGATTGCAAAATTAATACACAGAAGTTCAGAAAATATATACAGTACATTCATTTCTAATGCGAAATTGGTGACACTCAATTTCAATATCATCTTCAAAAATAACATAAGCAAAACCAACTTTATCATCAATCCTACTACCATCCGTATACAGCACAAATGAGATAATGAATTAACATCAGTGTCCGTACTATCCAGAATCTGTACTGGTTGTCTTACAGAAGGATGTGGTAGAACAGACAAGGGCAATAAACGATCAAAGTGAGAATTGGAGTAATTTGCAAGACTATTCTTATAATCTATAAAAGTCAGAATAAACAAATCCAGTGGTGGAAATCCGGCAAGAGAGAAAACAGCATTGTAACTTATAGTTCGGTAACCGCTTATAACTCGCAGCAAAATTCGTCTTTGAACTCGAAGCAGGCGTTTAGAGTTAATTTTTCTTTTTTAGAGACAATCCCCAAGCTCTACATCCATATGAAATAAGGGGTACAATGCCTTGTTTATAAATAATTGCGCTAACATTCGATTTAACACCAAAACTATTACAAGCAATTCGATTCAGCCCACGCGCTGAAGTCTCTCACATTTATTAGAAATGTAGGAAATATGCTTTTTCCAGTTAAATTTGCTGTCCAAAAAAACACCTAGATATTTAATTTCATTCACCCTCTCAAGGGGATTGTCATTTAAAAGCAATTGATATCCTTCATAAGTAGTATTTTTTCTATCAATAAACATGGCCTTGGATTTTGCATGGTTAAACTTTAACTTAAAATCTATTGACCAATGATAAATGAAATCTATAACATCTTGGGCGAGACGAAAAGCTTTTTGCATTTCTTTTCCTTGAATACAAATCAACAAATCATCTGCAAAGGCAATGACTTCACAACTGAAGAGATCAGAAAGTTTCTGTAAGAGATCATTCATAATAATAATCCAAAGCTTGGGACCGGAAACAGAACCTTGTGGACAACCTCTTTGAGGTCGGCGAACACTTGAGGTGCCACCCAAAGAAAGCTCGACCGTCCTGTCTTTCAGCAAATCAGAAACAACATTAAACACATTTTGAGGTATCTTCATTTCTTTTAGTAAATTGAGAATAGCAGGCCACCATGCATTATCAAAAGCTCCTTCAATATCAAGAAAAATTAAAATAGTGTACAAACCTCTCATCTTACCCCTCTGTACAATGTTGCTAAGACGCAGAAGTGCATCCTCAGCACATTTTTGAGCAATGAAACCATATTGGTCAGCACTAAGAATATTTTCTTTATGTAGATGCCAAGTAATTCTGTTAGTAATTAGTTTTTCAAAACATTTACCTAAAGAAGAAAGAAGACAGATACACCTAAGATTATTCACATGTGGAACAGTGATACTTTGTTTCTTGGGTATCACAATAACAAGGGCGTTCTTCCAAGTTCGTGGAAAAGCACCAAGATTCAAACATATATTAAATAATCTATGAAAAACTGCAGGAAAAAGACGATGGAAGTATCTTATGGTTTCATTGGGAATAGAGTCCGGGCCCAGGAGACCTGCCAAGCCCTAAATTACGAATTACATCATCAACCTCGGCCTGCGAAAAAGGAGGATCAATCTGAGACGCATAACTACTGCGAGCAGAGAGCGCCACTGAGTATGAAAGTCATTATCAAGTCTCACACAATCAGGAGGAAAAGCTTTATCAAGAATAGCATCGATAGTTTCCTCCAAGGAAGACGTAAAGTTACCGCTTGAAAGCCGAAGGCCCGAGATCTCAATCTTCCTCATAAAATTTTCTTTAATACCATAAGTGTAAATTTTTTTTCCACACATTCTCATTATTGATATCGGAAAGAAACTTCCTCCAAGACTCTAATTTGGCCTCAATAAGCATTTCATTGTATTTTTTCCTTAAATCAAGGTATTTCCGCTTATACAAGTCCCTTATATCATTGCTAGTAGTCCTCTGGAACCTCCGTCTAGCCGCGTTGACTCTCTTTCTCATAATGGAAATTTCCAATGACCACCAAGGTACTTTTCGCCTACCA